TGGAGTGTATCTGACACACAGACTCACATTGGCGGTGCCCATCCAACACGGGGCACAGACACACAGACACACAGACTCACATTGGCGGTGCCCATCCAACACGGGGCACAGACACACAGACACACAGACTCACATATGCCATTTATTCTGCCAGTTTAGATACAGGGGTCAGCTGCGTGCTTTCGGACTGGGGGAGGAAACTGACGTAAACACACACAAGCAGCGATGGTATTCATCCCGTGCTCCCAATTGTGTCACTTGCTAAATTCATAGCATCCACATACAGTGACTGTGCTGATTGCTCACAGGTTGTGGACGATGTCGGCAATCAGACGTCCTGCCGGCTGGCCGGCCTTAGGCCAGGCACGGTCTACTTCGTCCAGGTGCGCTGCAACCCAGTGGGCATCTACGGCTCCAGGAGACCGGGCATCTGGAGTGACTGGAGCAGCCCCACGGCCGCCTCGACGCCCCTTAGTGGTGAGAAAGGGTAGAGCACGTCACAGACTAGTTAAGGGAGCAGTCTGGAGACCTGAAAGGTCCCTGAAGTGATCCAGGCTGGGATCAGAACAGGACCTGTCAGTGCAGTGCAGAATTATTTATAAAGAATTAGAAACACTTTATTTAATTATTTGTTTGTTTATATATTTATTCATCTATAAATTCATTTTTTTCTTGTTTGTTCATTTATTTAGGTATGTTGAACTTTCAATCAGGCTGAATAACATAATACAAAATGAAAATACAGAAAGCAGCATAACTATACTTCATCCTTACATCCACCTGTATAAATAAGTACATTTGTAAGTCTCTGAATTAAAAAAAAAATGTTGCACCTTAAGAGCCCTGTATAGCGCAGAGAGTGAATCTAACAGCCAGCGGTCCCTGCCTAGAGCGGCTGCTGAGTGGGTCATGTGACCCGAAGGCGGGCGAGCAGAACGCCACGCTGCGCCGGGAGCTGAAGCAGTTCTTCGGCTGGGTGCGGAAGCACACGTACGGCTGCAGCGGCGTGACCATCAAGCTGTATGATCAGTGGCGTGTCTGGCTGCAGAAATCGCATAAGACGCGCAACCAGGTAGGTAAGCAGCAATTTCTTTACTCTAACCTTCACCTGCACGTTTGCTCAAGCCAATGCCATGTTTTATAATACAGCTCTGGGAAAAAATAAGAGACCAATCTATATTGCTTTTAAATCTGCATTTTTAAATCCTGGTTTAATCCTGGTTCTGCTGGCAGAGGCTGCACTGTGAATCAGGCTGTTCATAGGTTCAAAGTTTCTAAGACAGCAGTGCGCAAGGAGGAGGTGAAGCAGGAGACACTGGGAACGACCAGAAACCAGGCAGGCAGAGCGCAGAAGTGACTTTCTAATACCAGAAGATGTCAATCCAGCAGTGCTTTATAAATTGGAGGATGACCTCAAGTGACCTTCAAATGGAATGGGAAAGATTAAGTGCAGGTGTGAAGTGCACTGCTAGGACAGTGTGTATCAGGCTCCTAGAAGTAGGACTGAAGACCCATAAAGCAAAAGGAAGAAGCCCTTCATCAGCGAGATACAGGGAAGAGCCAGGCTGGAGTTTACAAAAAATGTGTATTTTACACAGACGCATAAATTTAAGAAATGAGTGAAACTACAAATTTTGCTGTTTCCTCTTCATTTTTTCCAGAGCTGTATGTATAAAAATGTACATAAAGCGTTGCTAGTGCGTCTTCCAGTTTCACAAACTAAACTTGTCTCTTTTTGTTGTAGATTCTACAAGGCGATAAGTTATAGCACACCGAAGAAAAACATAACATTAGAAAAAGAAAAAAATAAACTTAGAGGCTTGTTTGCTGAGAGGCAGTGATCACATTGCGCTGGAGGCTACGGGTCCCATTCACAGCAATCCGACTGCAAAGGGACACTGCAAGGGACACTGCAAGGGACACTGCAAGGGACACTGTGAAAACCAAATGACGGCAGAACCCCGCTGCCCAGAAACTCAACTGCCAGCTCAACACAGGACCCAGGGTGCCCTGGACGGTGGGAAAAACACCCACAGTGGGACAGTTATTGCTGCTGAGGGACCATCAGCGTAGAATGAAGCTAATAAGTGACTCATATTTAAACCGGAAAAGGTTCTCCAACACTGACAGTCTGTCAGGGGCTTCAGTGTAAATGTAGTATTACTGGTTATTTATCATTTGAATCACAAGTCGAGTGCAGTGGCCGCATGGCACTGCGGTGGTCAGATTGTGCCAGTGCAGTGTGGCCCGCGGTTGGGTGGAGGATGGCGAGGGCCGGGGTACTGGAAGACGTAACGCGATAGCCAGTGATGAAGCAGAGCAGCAGGTGTGTAATCGCTAACAAGCACAGGCGAGTCTGCAGTGAGCCCCGTTGGATTTACCTCGCAGAATCTCCACGGCCGTTCGTGAGTCATGAAGTCTGCTGAGAAAAGGTGAGAGGGGAGCGGTCGATCAAGGGCACTGCTTTGAGGGCCCCAGACACGCCAAGAGAGGAGGCGCAAGGAGCACATGCCGCGGTATTACAGTGCCTCCATATTTAACTGATTTCCTTCAAACGGAGAAGACTGCCATACCTCACGAGACTTGGGCTATATCGCAAACTGCATTCAAACTAATGCGATTTCTGCATGGAGAATTCCTGCAAACACATCAGTTACTGCCTTATGATCCACAGTAGTTTTCTTAAAGCTACAATTTTTATACCAGTTTATTTTAAAGTGGGCCGACCGAGAGGAACAACAATGCCAGAACTCACCGAAAGGCTCAGTCAACCCACGCATCACTAAATACATTGTCAAGGCCCGATTAGAGAGATTGGCAATAGCTGAACTGTCCATCCCCGTCTCCGGAGGCTGTGATTGGGCGATGATGCAGAAACCGTGATGTCACGCAAGGAGTGTTGACTATTCAGCCGAATTTCAGATTGCTGTGCTGTATCGTACCTTGTGTGAATGATTGTTTATATTATGTATTGCCTTTATTTTTTTACCAAATTGTATCAGCATATTTAAAAGTCTAATTATATGTCCTTTCCTAAGTTATGCATTGGTTACAGTATTGCGAGTGATCGTTTTAATTGTTCAATAATAATAGTTTATTACAAAAGCGGCTGTTCCATTGCTTCATTCCAAAGGACAACTCTAAATTCTATTTGATAGCATTTATAATTTTGAAATAGTAATTATCCAACCAATTTATGTCAAGGGAATAATAAAAAAATAAGTTTCTTGGCAAGGCAGTTTACAAATGAGTGACCTTTTGCTGCGGCATAAAACTGCAGCAGTCAGGCAGGCAGGACTATGGAACTGCAGTCAGATAAAAAATCAATAGCTCTGACAACATAAGCCGAAAAAATCTCTGTAGAGGAGCACTTCGCTGGCTGGCGCCGGGGCCGCCCCCTAGGGATACCCATCAAATCGGTATTTTACGCGGGGAGCTTCAGTCTCAGTCTCCTGCGCCTTTACTACACCGAGAGATGAAATGCGCATCACTGCAGATTCTCAGAATTATTTAACCCGAACGGCACTAAAAGACCCCACGAATCAGGAGTTAAAACTCATGGTTACTTATGAGTTACAATCAGTTAATCAAGCCTTTTCCTCGTACACCGCTCGCCCCTGGCAAGTTAGATCCTTACACAGGATCTGTCGAACATAATTAAAGCCAAGGCGCCAAGTCATGTTCCAGAAACGAGGCGGTTATTTGAAACCGCATCTATACCTTCGGCTTGAAATGGGTTTTTAATTTGTGACTCCTGCTAGATCTCAACGCTTTGAAAGCTCTAATTATTGGGGAATCGGTTCCAATATGCTACCACGGTCAAATTAGTCAAAACATTATTACAGTTAACATGGGTTATATAGAAACCGAGCATCTGTTTTCAATTTCCTAGTAGAAGCCTGACCCCTGGTGGATGGTAAGAATATCAACAAAACAATATAAAAATTGTTCTTATATTAATATATACTACTAAAGATTTAATATAGATATTTATATAGACCTTTTATAAGTATTTTTTAGTCGGAAGCCTTACCGTGGCCTCATAATTTTATGAGGCCACGGGAACCATTTGATGCATTTTAATTATCGGTTATCGTTCCATTTTGAAGCAGCAACAGCGTTAATCTAAAAAGTGGAATAAACTCCATTATAGAACTCAGGGCACTTCGGGTTATTGCAGTATAAGCTTATTTTGCGGTGCAGAGTTTCTAAATAGCCAAAAAAACCCGGAGATCTTCGTATGACAAACGGCTTACTCTTGGTCAGGACCGTGCTCCATTGACACGGGCAGATCAGTAAATAACACTGGTGTCAATTATGGTGTGTAGGTTAGCAAGGTGGGTGCTTGCGTGGCAGTGAGCTGCATTGCTCCTGTTGCACTGTTGCAGCGAGTGGCCCTTAGGTATGATTTCTGAGCCCCGTCGACTCCGTCCTGTATAGAGGAAAGCCGAAACTCTGGTACCGTGACTGGCTGCACGCCATAGGTCAGATCCCGTGTGTTTGCCCTCGTTAATAATAAACCGGATCCAGTTACCGAACCGTCCTCTGAGTCCGAGGCCAGTTAATGATTAATGTAAGATCGCTGGTCACAGCTGTGGTTGACGATTTTCCTTAGAATGACACACGGCGATATTCATTGTCAGCCTAACTGAAGTAATACAAATTGATCCTCATGTCTATGCAGATTCATTAATGTCACACATTTCAGTTTATATAAATCCAGCGTGATAAATGCATCCATTATTTTACGTTAACTTAAGACAATGCAATTACTCACCTGTCAGCAGGTGAAGAGATTCTTGACTATCAGATGGGAGAAATAGTGCAGAAAGTGCAGGTCTTGCAAGAACCTCGTGCTGAAACGTCCCCTTCTGTCACCATGGCAACCGTCTGCTTACTTCAGGTGTGACTGTAAGGATTGCCTGATTCAGATAACGTTACATGAGACCTAACCTATGTGATGTCACCACTACTAAGTGTATCAACTGCTTATTTAACGCTCTGGACTCCAGCAGACAGAGCAGTTTAAATGGGAGGTGGACAGTACTGCATCTGCAGGCTTCATTTGTTAATTTACTTACTGGTTGCCTTTGATAATATTTCTCCCCAAAGAGAAATTCTTTCAAATGCGGCATCATTCCAAAACAGCTCTGTACTAGCTAGCTAACTAGCCGCCCTTACCTTAGAACAACAGCAGGATTTTCCATGCCCATCAAGACATTGAAGAAGTGACACAGAGAAGAAAAACCATATCGGCCGAATGATCCGGACGTTTGTAATTTTGTATGCTTCTGGAGGCTCCTGATTCTATCTCCCTCACCTCAGATATCCAGCAACCTGTCAGCTACAAAAATTACTGACTTTCGGAAACTGGCCTGAATTTTTTCTGAATCCTGCGATGTAGCTACACACTTCTGCCTTTGGAAAGGAGATATTTGACATGTTATTGAAAAGAAGCCCTTGGTTACTGGACACTGTCAGCAACATATTAACCTGATTGACTTATCATTTGATACAAGGAAAGAGGTAAGTGGTAAATACTGTCAAAGGTTATACATGGACTGCAAAATCTGCCAGTACAGTTCCCCGAACATCTCTAGTTCTGCTCTCAGAGAGGAGAATAATCGAGCTGGTTTTACACGTCTCCAGCTGTTAAACCTTCTCTCCAGCGACCATTCAGAATGTCAGAAACACAGAAAAGACGTCCTATTATTGCTGGCCGAGAAAAAGGTAAGCTTCCGGAATTCTGTGTTGTGCAGTTCACAGTTTCACTGGGATAACAGACACATGTCAACAAAAAAATGTGTTACAGCTCTTGTTTAACATCAGACATAATTCTAGGTGAGAATATTCACCTGATATTTCTGTGAAATTACTGCATAAAATGTCTTCTCAAGATTTGCTGTACAGATCACGAAAAAAGTTAGTGACATGAGACACAGCATTTTGTTTTTAGCATTTAAGGATTTTCTTTCAAAATTCAAGAGTGTTTATTTGTGACATAAATGTCTCGCAGTGAAATGTATTACCTAAGAGTGATAGACTTTCTAGAAGTTTCTAGGTTTACATTAACAGTAAGGAAATTTATCATGCTTGAGTCCAGTTTTTGTAAGCAGAAAAGCCTTTTGAGGTAAAGATACACAGGCCACACTTTGAGGGACCATGGAGTCCTGTAGAGTATCAAGGTCCCTTTTGACACCCCCTATAAAGGCCTCTAGTTGAGACAACTTGACATCTGATCTTTACTTTAAGGAAGGTGTTTGTTTCTGCAAGGTGACGAGTGGGGGGGGGGGGTGTTTATTTGGGGCAGATTAGTTGTGTTTTTTTCGTGTGTCACCAGGACCCGGACCAGCTCGATACGCCCTCCCAACGACTGTCGGCCTCATCGGTCATGACTTCACTAAACCATCAAGTCCTGCCTATTCCTTCCACAGCAGAATGAGCAACAGCAGTGAGTATCGCCATTTTTAGAGCACCGTATCACTATCCCCTCAGCAGCTGACCTTGGATCAGTTTTATAAATAGGCTTAAATGGTAAAAGTTACGTCAGGGGCGAGGTGAACTCAGCTTAAATGAGTAGCTAATGAAAGAAAATAACCAATCTCGCGTTAGCAGAATAGATCAGTTTAAAGAAAACTTCAATCTCACCATTGTATTATTGCCCCTCTTTCTGTTCACGGGACAGTTTGGGATGTTATTTTGTAATGCGTTGTTTCGTAAGGTATGTTCTCGTAGAATAACATCGTACCATCGCCAAAAAGCTGCAGAATTAACAGCAGGCAAAAGTAGTGATCATCATGTCATGGCGCACTCCAGCCACAAGAGGGAGCAAGTGCACCACAAAGGGGACAAGGTCAATGGCTGCCATGTGTTTCAGACAATAGCTTGTTCTGGAAATTGATCCTGTCATCGTGTTTCATGCTGCTTTATACGTTTTTTTTTACATTTATGTAAAATTAAACAGAAATAAGCATTGCAACCACACAGGATAAAGTCATAATGTAGTATATCATAACAGATTAAAAAGATCCCAGAATGAAAACAAATTATTTCCAGCGCTCTGCACCTTTCTCGCTCTCCATCTAACCCATCCGCCGTTTGTGGCTCTGCCGTGTAGTGTATTTCATTGACTCCAGTCCCGGCCCCCAGTATCAAGTTGATGCAAAAACAACGCGCTTTGGGAGGGAGAGCGCCCCTGCATTCACCATCCTGGGTAGGCGGAGGGCGTCCGGTGAGTTTATCGTCAGGCTTCTCGCATCCCTAATTCACCACAGAGAGCAATGATGTACATTGTTTTAGGGGTAAGGAATTACCGTAAAACGTGTTTCAGGCGCAGATTAAAAAAGTGAAATTGATGTAAATCACTTGGGGGAAAAAGTACATTCCAAAAGTATCACAGAAATCTGTAACATCGGGAAAAAATGCTGTTTAATGTAATACCTTGTATTACAGGTAACATTATATGTATATTTTGGCATTGTACCTTGCTGTCTTGAACAGTTCAGTAGAGAATTTGTTAGTATTGGGCATGGTTTTGAAAATGGATTAACTGCATTGAAGTGTCACCTTCCCTGATGGCTGATTATACTGCTGAGGACCAATGAACAATGAACCAGCTGCTTGCGGCAGGGAAGGCTTGATCTGTTCCTGTCAGCTGCTTTAACTGAAAATTCCTACCACCACCTGGAGTTCTACACTACCAGTCAAACGTTTTCGCACACACTGAGATTTTCTACATTGTAGTACATGTTACTCACTTAACATTTACTACAAATACATTCAATATTCTTTACAACAACTGGGATCTCGAGGCGTTTTGTCGTGTGGTGGGTGCAGCAATGCGTTCTACCACTGCATGCTCTCCAACCTGACCTGAATATTCATATCACATCTTTCTGTTTAGCTGGGACTCTCCAGACGCCAGGGCCAGGTACCTACAGTCCTGAGAGAGCGCCCCCTGTCAACAATCACCGAAGGCCTCCATCTTACACCATGGGGTCACGCACACGTTACCGCTCCATAGACAGTGTACCGGCGCCCAACCAGTACACACTTCCGGCGCTCATGGGCTCCCAGGTGCTTGAGAAGCCAAGCAGTGCCAGGTACAGCGTCGCCGGCCGCTGCAGGTCCGGGGGAGCATCTGAAGACTTTGCTAGGACTCCGGGACCTGGCAGGTACAATAGCACAGACCCCAGTGTGTACCTGCCAAGGCAGCCTGCTTACTCCATGCTGGGCCGTCACAGCAGCCCTGGCAGCACTGCCCAGAGACCTGGGCCTGGAACGTACAGCCCAGAAAGGGTTCTGGCACACAAGCCCCGCCCCCCTTCCTATTCTCTAGGTATGAGGCACTCAGAGTTTGTCACTCCCCTGGTTGTGGGTATGCTGGACTGAACACCTATATCCCAGCTACAGCTTACATACAAATGGACAAATCTGGATGAAATGCAATTGCTAAACTGTACTCTTGTGCAGTTTTTCATTTTCCTGTTCTTTCACTTGTTGAAGTAACTCATTTCTGCCCGAAATGTGTTTAAAATAATTTAAGGAACTACATCATAAGTGGGAATATTAGCACCTTATTAATTTTTTTTTTAACTTGCTGCCCTTATTTTCTACAACACAGGCAAGTTCCCCAATAGGGCTACATGTATTATAAAATGCAAAGTATGGCACAAATATGACAGATTTCTTTTTAAAATTAAGTGTTGCATTGTGTATCACTCCAAAGAATAATTAGACAATGAAACATTTTTCAATTTCTTATATAATACAAAAATTGGAAAAAAATACAGACAAAATATACTCACATAGAAAAAAGAAAACTAAACTGATTCAAGGAAAACAGAATCAAGTATTTAGACTAAAACAGAATTTATCATCAACAAACTCTTATAGTTGCCATATATCTGAACTTAAATAGTACATTAAAAGATTTATGTACTGTCTAAACACAATGTTTAACAACATTCAAAATTAAATAGAGTGTAAAGAAAACAAGACTGTCAAGGGGCTTTAGAAAACAAGACTTCTCTCCATCCTTTTTTAGTAACATCGCCTAACCCATAATGTCTCCCATAAATATTACACTGAATACCATTCGGAACCACGTCTTTAAGTTAATGTATTTTATAAAAGAAAAAAAAAGGTTACCTAACCATTCTGTGGCTAACCTCCATCCACATTTTGGGCACATCTGTTGTAAATCGAGCCTGCCAGACTAACAGAATCCTTTCCAGAAGCTGGGAATGTATTGGCCTACAAAAACACAGCCTGGGGAATCTTATGTGGTCCTTTTCACTCAACATGAAACCAAAAAAGGCCCACTGCACAAAATATAAATATAATATGAACAGAAACAACTCAGCAGTAACTTTAAATTGCAATCTGTTACATATATGCAGTTGCATCTAGGTTGGTGTCTCCGGAAGTCCCCTTTTTTCAGTCTTTTGGAAGAGGCCTTCGGAAAAGCAGTATGTGTGGTTCTGAAAAACATACATTTTTACTTTTTGAAATCAAAACATTTAGTTTAACCAAGAGAAAACAGACTAGGTAAAAGTAAATACCACTCAGTTAAGAGGTGTCTTACATGCAGGCCATGTTAATGTGTAATTAATGTGTAATTAATGCGTAGTTAATGCGCTGGTTACTTTTTAGCTTGCTCCTCACCTGGCTTATGGACCATGTAATGAATCCAGCCTTGGCTCTGCTGCACTCCAAGGCCTCGCCACTCCTCCTCGGACATCAGGTGGGATGTGGGCACCAGCTTGGACAGCTGCTTGGGGAGCATCACGTGCCTGTTATGTTGACAAGCAATGGGGATTCGCGTTAGACGCGCGCGTGATGCTCCTGAGCAATACTGCCAGCTGCCTTTCGCAGCAGACCATTCTACAAAATATAGAACTTTTTAAAAAGTCTGACCACGAGAGTGACGTTGAATAAAGACAGGGATTGACATAACTGGTATTCAAGTACGCTATCACGGTCATTTGTCACAACAATGCATGTGTACATTAAATAAATACGCAAATACACATAAAATGATTCGTTGTTTGCGCTGTTCGTACCAATTACGTCAATCCCTGTACAGTATATAGACCAATACGTCTGTTAACGTCAAACTGCTACGTAAATAAGTCTAACAAGAATGCATCTCTCTAGTACGGGTAAGAATTCCGCGTTAGGGGAAGCGTTACAACTTTTCAAGCCATCTTGAGCAGCGCTGTTTCATCGGACCGGATTCCAACATTTCCCCATTATGTTTTTCTCCCGCTAATCACACGACGATCGTTTAAGGCGGCTACACAACCGGTTACAACAAACTGTACGTGTTTAATTAACGGCCTAAGTCAAAGCACAACGAAACTCACGTGGGGGAAAAACGGCAGCAATGACTTTCATCAGTCGCGGTAGTTAACGTTAGCTCGTTAGCTTACCTGTACTCAAACTCTTCGTCTGTGTATTTATCAGAGTAGTAAATCTGCTTTTTCGACATCTTCGTCTTATTTCACGTTAGTCGAAGTTATAAAGAGAAATACACTGTTTATTCCCGACTTAGAGCGACTCTCGCCGTTAAGTTTTACCGTCTCGCGCCTACTGACGATCACCACAGTCAAAGATTTTAAACTCAAACGAACCGCGCGTCCTCTGATTGGCGGAGACGCGCGGGGAAAAACAGCAAACGGCTTCCCGTAGACACGCCCCTCGGTGCGTGACGTAACTGGACATTCTTTTAACGCTTTGTAATTGCCTGATATAGACATAATTTGTAATGTCATATGTAAAAGGAACGTTTCCTATAATGTTGCTTGTCGGACATTCATGTATAACATTTCGGCTCACTTCAGCGGGGTCTCTAATTTGAAATGGAAAGTCCAGCGTATGGACTTTGGTGGTAAATGTGTGGAAGAGTGGACCTCTAAGTTTCTAGAAAATCTAAACCTTCTTGTTATTTTTTATAGTACGTATGGAGAAAACATATTTGCAGTTTATCTTGATACTGGCGTTAGACTGTGGCAGTCTTCAGATTGAATTGTAACGAGCTGAAAATAAATGAAACCACAAAAACCACAACCGGCATCATTAATGTTATTTTAAACATGTAAGAATTATAATACACTGATACAACCACTTTGTGCTATTAGACATTCTTTTGCGCAGTTGCTCATGTTATAATACAGACCTCTGTGAACCCCGGTGTCACAATAAACTGACACATGCCGCAGTCTGCTGCTAAGGACGATCAGGGTTGGCACTTAGAAATGGAATCTCATTATTTGCGCATATCTCTCATATGGAGGTCTAAATGAACTGCGGTGCAAAGTGAGATATCCCAAAATATACCCCAGCAGCCAGATAAAATTTAGACCTAAAATGTATCCATTACCATATTATGTAATGCTTTTTATTGCGTGTTTATGTTTTGTATCACAATTGGAATAAAATGTATAATTTTCTCATCTAATATTGCCTTAAAATTCTGTGTTTTATGTTTATGAATTATTTTTCTAACCGTATGTTTTTGTGAGCATGTTTAAATTTGATATCCTATGTTACGTATTGACAATATTAGAAAGTTACCAAATAAGTTCCCTAATTAAGAAATTATGTACCAGTGTTAAAATGATTAGTATACATACCAAAATACCTTTTTAATTCATTGTTATTTGCATTTCCTGGTTCTGGCATGAGGTAAGCGGTGGTGCATATGTTTTTCCATCTGGTTACTTCGAGTCCTACAGAATGAGATCATTTAAGAGTAGAGCCCAGAATGCATTGTGGAGGATTCACTGTAATAATTTATTCAGCTGGTTTGATGTATATTTCAGAACCTACATTACACTGTGTCTCAAAGGTGCCATAGGTGTCACGCGGGTCTGCTCATTTTTGTAATTTCATGATGAATTGTATCTGAGGTCTTTAAAGGGTGTACTTGAAGGATAAGGAGTATGTCAAGACGTAGGTAAAAAGTTTGTGGATGTTTAGGCAACTGAGGGAGGTAATCACGCAGTTTTGGGTGCCACAGTACTTGCGGGAAGCAGCTCTGAGGACGTGAGACTTGCATGGAAGGGGGGCTGTCAAGCTACTGTGGCTGTTATAGGCGTGGTCCAGTCGCTGCTCTGGCCCACGTCCAGCAGTTCCTGGGCAGAGATCTGGATGTAGTACGTGCTCCCCGGTAAAAGCCCCTTCAGAGTCATCTTTAAAGACTCGTATGGACCGAGCTGCGGGAAGAGGTATTGGGTGTGACTCTGACAAATTCATGAGACAACCTGCAGGGTTCATACAAAAAGTGTTCTTACATTTGTTGCCAAACAAGTTGCTAGGGTAACCAAGTGTTGACTAACGCAACAGTCGCACACTTCCTGGAGAACTGATAATTGTTCATGTTCTTAAATTCTAAGCAGCCAAGAACATAAGCTGAGAGAGTGGGCTAAATGATCTCAGATTTGTAACTTTTTTTGAACGTTTTATCCCAGTGGCTACGGACCGTGGTCCCAGAAGACTGGCACATGGGCTAATTTTAGTCCTAGCTGACCTGTAAACTACTGAGACCAGTCAGCCTTCACAAGAAGGGTGAAGAGGTGGGGCACTTACAATGCGTGCAGAGGCCTTGCTGTTCCTATAGAACCTCACTTTGTATTTGAGTGGAAAGTATGGGAGGTTAGTCCAGGTAGGGGGTGGAGCCCACTCTACGATCAGCTGCTTAGTGAAGCCTGGTACAACCCTCACGTTAACTGGGGGGTCTGGTTTTACTGTGGAGAAGAGGACAAAGATGAGGCTTGTGTGTCACCAGAAATGGTCAATGGCATATAACTTCCCACACAGAGCTATTGATGTAGTATGACTTCAGACTTCATATTTAGCTTCTCCACAGTGGCTGGGCCCCCCCCCAAGGCGGTGAGGAATCGGGGTCTGGCTGGAGCAGGGCTTGGACGGGGATGTGTATTACCGATATCCTCCAGGGTGAAGAGCAGAAGGCGGGTAGACGAGCCCAGCGGGTTTATAGCTGTGACATTGAATATGTAGTGGTCAATACTGAAGAGCTTCATCCCCTGCATCACACAGCGGCGATTAGCGTCTGGGACACTATGACATGGCAGCACTTCTCTGGAGTGTTGCAAGCTGGGAGGTGAGGGAGGAAGTGACATCAGCACCCACTATCCAAGGAAGCAGTGTGTTGACTGTCAACATTTTACATTTCCATTCAGATTGGCACAAAATATAGCGCGTCGAGCTAAGCTAATAACAGATCACAGACATCTTCCTACCTGTAGGTGGCGATGTAGCTTGTTGGCAGCGTTGGCTCCGGTTGTTCATCCCAGGAACATATGACACTATGAGGATAATTAGGAGACCAACAGCGAACTTCTGGAGTTGAGGGTGGGTCTGCATGGAACACATAGTCAATTACCAGAACAGAGAGGAAAAAAAACACATGCATGCAACTGACTAATTCAGGAAATCACCATGGTGATTTAAAGCACACGTTGTTCTTCTGGAGTCACATGTAGTTATAAGTAGACAACAGTTGTGGAGAAGAAACTCACAGCCTGGTTGCAAGTGCAGCCTCTGTAGCATGGTGCCGTTGGCAGCGTGGCAGGTATAAATGCCTCCGCTCTCTAGACTGACGTTTTGTAGAGTCAGGAATCCTCCTGGGGTCAGCACTGTCCCGTTACGCATCCACTCCACCCCGACCTCCCCCGGGCCCTCATCCACGCCCCCGCAGGCGGTGGAGAACGTAGAGCCTACACCGACGTAGAGCTCTATCACAGAGTTAAAGACGGTGTTAAAACACGTGGCGTGTATTTCTCTGACAAGGGCGATGAGACCGAAGAGAGAGGGGGTGTCACCTGTTACAGGAAGGTCATCCGTCAGGGGGTGGGGGGCATCAGCACAGGCTGATGCATGGAGGAGCAGTATAACGATCCAGCCTCTCATCACCCTGCCAGGACGGCACATCATACGGCGCTGACCGTCCGTGGCACGATGCCAGCACAGAAGAGGGACAAGAAGTTCACACGACTGCATGAAAATCATTAACAAGAAGATAAACTTGAAACAAATTTCCAGCTTCACTAGCAAATGAAAGTATACAGGGTCCGTGTTATGAGAATATGGTTAGCGTTGCTCACAAACCACTAACCACAAAATATAAAGACATGTTACAGGTATGTACACACAATGTTTTTCAGTGCTAATTCTATGTCTCCCATTGTAGCCCATTAAAGATAAAAAAACACAAGTACACACACAACCCATATTTGTGTATTCTGGCTCGCATACAGAATGCATGTAATAATATTTATACTGAATACATGTTAAATTGCACCAACATTGACAATAAGAGAATGAGATAGAGGCAGGCAGCCTTACCGAAGCGTTCAGATTGTCTGTCTCTGTCCTCTGTGATTTCCAGCAGTAACTCTGATACTGGGGGAGGTATGGGGGGGGTTTTGTGGGGGGAACCAGCATTGCATAACTGTGTTTTTTTGTGCTAATCAGCAGCAGACTGTATTTTTCACCACACATTCGCACAAATAAGAACAGCAACTGAGAACAGCCAGACTCACTTCTCGTTTATTGAAGGGACCTATTGATCCCGATAGACAGAAGTGAAAGTATTAAGTGTTATCTGGACATAAAATGACAGAATGTTGGCAGAAGTCTTGGTCTGACTCCGCCCCTATTCCTGGTCTAAATTGTAATTCAGCGTCTAGGTCGTTATGTCATTTCCACAGCCTAATGCGACAACTACAGAGCTAAGTGATTCCCATCCTGGACCAGTCCACATGTGGAGCAGAAAGGTTAGGGTTGTGTATGACACGCAATACAGATTCCCAGTACAGAAGTCCAGCAGACATCCTGGATGGGTGGGGGCCCGGGGTGGGACTCTGCGTCTTCTCAGTGGTCCGGTTCAGTCTGGGTCATCCTCAGGATCTGCAGTAGCAGGGCCTGCACCTCTTCGTCCATGCGGCCCTGAGGGTCAGCGAGCGCATGCTAATTCACCACCCCGACAGGAGAAGCAGCACCCCCCCCCCCTTAAGTGAGAAAATAAGCTGCCAGGAGGGGGGGGGGTTCAGTGTGGTCAACTCTTTTAGAACAGTTAACAGTTCACACTGCATATCAGACTGGAGAGCCCTGTCTTACATTTATGTGAGCTTGTTGCACTTTCACATCATGGTCAGATTGACCATCGGACACCCCCCCCCCCACCCAAGACCTCTGACACAATTCAAACACTGAATGTGCTTGTCTGTGCTGTGATCAACTGCAAATCATAGCACTGTGAGCACAAATAGGGAAGACGGGGTCACCCTCCCCCCCCCCCCCCCCCCC